GGACCAGAAGTCGAAGGATATGTGCGGCCGGGCGAACCTCAGGTCGGGCATGTGTCCCCCCACAGGCGGATATTGGGCGAAAAATGGAGAAGACCCCAAAAGTCAACACAAACAGTCAAAGAAGATACTCCGAAAAGATCGTCCCTGACTTTTGGGGCTGTGTCTGAATTCAGGAGGAGGAGGAGGAGGAGGAGGAGGAGGAGGAGGAGGAGGAGGAGGAGGAGGAGGAGGAGGAGGAGGAGGAGGAGGAGAAGGAGGAGGAGGAGGAGGAGGGAGGAGGAGGAGGAGGAGGAGGAGGGGAGGAGGAGGAGGGGGAGGAGGAGGAGGAGGAGGAGGGGGAGGAGGAGGAGGAGGGGAGCGCCGAGGCCGAGGCTCGCAGGGGCTCTGTGTGCTGTTGGGGCGAAGTGAGCCCCACCCTCCCCCCCAGAAATCGTGGGGGGTAGGGGTAGGGTTCGCACGTGGCCCCCTGGCTGTCTCCGTCTCAGGCCGCGCATGTCCTCCTACTAGTACAGGCGGATGGAGCATGAAGGGTCAGAAGAGCACGACAAATCGTCTGCCGACCATGTCTTTTATTACCAGTGCTGGAAGATCCCTGCTGTAGGGACATGCCCGACGGAAGCTGAGTCCTCTGCGGGGCCCTTTTCGGAGCCCTCAGATGCCGATCCCGGAACGAGGGGCCACAGCCGGGGTGGGCCCCTCAGGGGTCCGGTCGTTGACTTCGAGCGTATCTTCTGGTCGGCGTCGCCTTCGCCGTCATCGCCGCTGCGCTGGCAGCTGCTGCCATGGCTCCCCTGGTGGGCGCGGGGGAGACGGGGAGGACCCTGGTTCCCCTCCAGGTGAGGGGGAAGGGGAGGGGGAATGGGGCCAGGGCCGCAGGAGGCCAGAAGAACTGGAAAGTATACGGCCTTCCAACCTGCGTTTTGCCACCGGAGCTTTTCTGCCCATGATGGCCCCAGAGAGCCTTGGAGGAGCCCAAAATCGCGCCATGCCTCCCACTCTGCGGTCTCACTCACGCGACCACTGGATGCATTCAGCGCCAACGCGCGGAAAACCACAGCTCTTTCCAGCACGTACGCCCTTCCTGCCCCCACCCCCGTCCTGCGTGCTCCTCCCCCCTGTCCTCACACTCGCCATCCCCTCCCCTCCCTTTTCTCATGCCACCCTCCCCTGCCCCCGTCCTCCTCCCCGCCGCGCCCCTCGCTTTCCCCTGTGGCTCCCCCTGCCTCATCACCCTCATCCTCAACTGGAGCCTCCTCGTCTTTCTCTTCACCCTCAACTGGAGCCTCCTCAACTGGAGCCTCCTCAACTGGAGCCTCCTCAACACCCTCATCCTCAACTGGAGCCTCCTCGTCTTTCTCTTCACCCTCCTCTTCGGTCCTCCCCCAGCAGGCTCAGGGTCAGGGTCGCAGCATGCGACGGAGCGTGCCGTGCGCGGGCTGCTGAGCGCGCGGCGGCGCAAGCCTCTCTGCTGCCGCCGCCCCGTCCTGAAGGCTCTGACACGCACATGTCCTGATGAGTCTCAGAAGTCCCATCGTTCTTGAGAATTCCCCCACACACAGCTCTCCGCAAGTGTGGACAGGAGGAGGAGGAGGAGGAGGAGGAGGAGGAAGAGGAGGAGGAGCAGGAGGGGGAGGAGGGGGGGGAGGAGGAGGAGGAGGAGG